ATTATATATGGAACTTTTTTTCCCGGGGGCACAAATAAGAAGCACATATACATTAATAAGAGCGCTCATTTCTTCTTCTCACGTTCCTGGAGTAAACGGAGCAGATTCTGCAGGTCTTAACGGGGCGAGCACACAAATGCACAAAACATACACACCCCCAACCGAGACGCGCACACGAGGAAGCGGCGCAATAGCGCGGAGAGAGCGATAACGCGCGGGGCACATGGGAATTATATTACGGATTTAATGGAAGCTGACGTTAAACCGTGAAATGCTTCTGTCCATTAACGGAGGCAGCTCCCGAGATTCCGCGCGGTGTATCCCATCGGGTGAGCGTCGTGATAATAATTGAATTAAATTATCAGAAGTTCGGCCGCCGATTATCGTCGTGAGGAAAATTTCACATCGGAGTTCGAGAGCCGCCCCGAGTTCGGGGACGTTCAACGTCGCGCGCGGTCATTTTCTCTTGGGAAACGAGCTGAACTCACGCTGTTGAACTTTGCTCCTAGCATTACGAGAGTAAAATATTCGTTTTGTTTTATAACTTTTATATAATAATGGATATGTATATATAATAATGGAATAATATTACACGGATCTTATATTTATGTATTATAGTATTGTGAATAACATATTGTGTAGTCGGGGACATCTGCCACAGACCTGCAGGGAAACCGGGAAAACCGGGAAAAGTCAGGGAAATTTGAAATAGTCAGGGAAAACCTAGAAAAGTCAGGGTAGATATAAAAGAGCCTGGAATTTTGAACTTTACTCCTTAAAAGGGATTCATCCCGATTCTGTAACTCTTAACGACAGTTCGGTAGCGTTATATTTTTTGTATGTATTGCCCTTTTTGATTTGAAAATCCTTTTCCAGAATTAAACAATAGAAAATAACAGAACAAAATGATTTTGTATGAAAATCGAAAAAAATTTTGAAAATTACGATTTTATTCGAGACTTCTTTCTGTTATCGCAATCAAAAATATTCTGAATATTTAACGATATTAAAGAAATGTCTACGGGAATCTTTCTGCCTTTACCACTGGAGTTTTTGTCTAGTCCCCGCAAGCAACGGAAAATTCAGTTATATCAAAGGAATCTTTTTTTTTGTAGTTTAATGCATAACATCAAAGCAACAATGTCATAAATGTTAATAATTTGTTGGCCTGAATTTCCATTTGGAATTGTATTATGTTATTAGACTTCTAAATTTATGTTGCTTCTAAGTTCTAATAATATAAGTTATTTTTCTTGTAAGATGTATCTTGTTACGTCCGGCGTGCAGAAACTCAAATTATTTCAATGAATTTATTAAATTCATCTGTCGTTATCGGCACGCCGTCCTTGAGTGTTCGAGTGCCAACGCACCCGAAGAATGCGCGGCAACCGCTGGTGCGCACACTCAAGCCACTCACAACGTGCATGACCACTGACAAACAAATTCCTTTCTTTTCAATTAGCAATTATTAATTCGGAACTGCTCATTTAGATTTAGTTAAACACGCGTTAGATAAGTAAGACAATCATGCCCCGAAGGAGGGCCAAAAAAAAGAAGGGAGACTCAAAAAATGTAACACCAAAAAAACAAAGCGAGAGCGCGCAAAAATGCCCAGCGAGGCAACAAAATGAGAGCGGCGCGCGCAGCCGCATGACACTCGACGACCGGGCAACCGCGCCCCGTTTAAAAAAAAGGAAACACCGCGCCTTGCAATTGTCAAACTAAAAAGAGTTCTAATTATTCTTATTCTTGTTAACTACAATATTCGAATTCTTGTTAACTACAATATTTGAAATAATAACTATTGTTAAGATTTCGCGAAATATTTGTGCGAGTCAAATTCTCGGAGACGAAAGACAAAAATACCACAGTATATACAATAGCGCAACTCCCTGTCGGTACCTTTGATGTCGGCGTGTACGAAAATGAACTGCACATGCGCGAGCTTAGGGTAATCAATCACAGACCTGCTTTCTGTATCTGCACTGGACTGCACTAACATTGCTTATTTCATTTTAGTGTAACAAATGTACGTACACTACTTAGGTTGCAAAGAAAAGACACACATACACTCACATATCATGTCACTAAACTTCTATTTCAATTTTTCTTTTCTTTATAATTTTTCTCTTTTTTATTTTATTATATGTAAATTCGAAATAACATTTAAAATATATAAATTTAATGATAATATATAATTGTAATACATTGTACATTGTATAGACAATAAAACATATAAAACAAGAAATAAACAAGAAAAAAAATATATATATACATATGTAATAATACATGAATATTATATTAATAAATAAATAAAAACTTATTATATATACATATATGTATACAGGGTGTCCCATAATAACCGCACCAGACTTCGTGGGCAGGTAGAGCAGATGAAACTGAACAGAAAAGTCCTCTATCATTATGCAAAATTCGCAATT